TTGCCTTGCGAACTGCCTTAAAGGGATACTTTTCAACTTTTTCATGTTTTAAATAATTTTCTTGAGCCAGTATGTGTTAAAATGACCCTTTACAGAGGTAATGAAAGGTAACTCAGCACCTATCTCCCTCTGAGGCCAGAATACCACATTTTCTACTTCACAGTTGCTGGTCCAGTTTGTTGGACTTAAAAACAATTCAGCTGACATACCTGGCACTGCAGTCATGAACCCAGCTGATTTGTTTAATCTAGTGATGAGTCGCTCCTGTAGACACTAAGGAAGGCTGGGAAACATTTCAGCTGTTAGATTAATAATAATAATAATGCATTGAACTTATAGAGCGCTTTTCTAGACGCCCAAAGACGCTTTCACACACTCTCACATTCACACACTGCTAGTGATGGTAAGCTACTTGTAGCCACAGCCGCCCTGGGGAGGTCTGACAGAGGCGAGGCTGCCATTTGGCACCGTCGGCCCCTCTGACCACCACTAACACAGGCAAGATGGGTGAAGTGTCTTGCCCAAGGACACTACAGCAGGATACCCCTGGCGGGAGCTGGAATCACACCCATAACCCTCCGATCATGAGGCAACCCGCTCTACCACCTGAGCTACTGCTGCCCAGATGAAGGTATTAAACAAATGTAAAGGAATGAAATGACTGTTTTCCACCAAAAGTCATTTTCCCCTCTCCTCTGACACAGAACTAGTCTGCATGAGATATGGCCTCAAGGTTTCATGCATTTGTTATAAAACTGCTTCTTTCCAGCTCAAGAGAAGAATGAAGAATGGACTCTCTCCTTTTAATAAATCAAAGAATTCTATTTTAATAAAGCTAATCAAACAAAGTGTTAGTCAATAATAAGATGTGACCAATCTGTGAAATCAAAATATTAATTACTTTCTTATAATCCTACAGAATATAATAAGTAATATGACTTTAAATGTTTCCACTAGGACTGATCTCACGTAGCGTTAGGAGACGACACATTGCTTTACTGATCCAATCATAATCTGCCAGATCTGACGGAGGCGTGGTTTTGGTGGTGTTTGGTAAATCTGTCATCTTTTCATTCGACCATAAACATAAACATCCGAAGTATAAACCTATGCCCACGTCATCTTTAACGCCAGTTCAAAGCGTTCTAGAGAAGTTGTCGGAGTGGCCAATCCGTAACTTTCCTCTTCAGCTGAAAGAACCAACGACAAGCTGGATAAAATCTGTTGCTGTTCCACCTGCTGCAACGGTTCCTTTCAGAATAAAAGCTGAACCATCACGACCAGGTTTGGGTCTCACTAGATGCCAACAAAACTGTCGTGACCTGGAAGTATCTCAAAGACTGGTCTGGTCGGCAACCGCTGCTTTTCCTACCGGCTTCGGTTCCAGAGAAGGTCAAGCTGGACCTCGACATTCCTGATCTAGCGGGGAGTTCCAGCAGGGTATGTAGGCCGACAGAATGGTGTCAAATGAGTTTATAAATCTCCAAATCAAAGCTTAACGTGAAGACATAACCTTCATTTGCCATCAGAACTAATCGCTTCTTTGGATTTGCTGGTTCTGAGCAACATTCCACATTACACCATTCTCCGTCTCATTCACCTTAGTTACATTTAGTGTTAAAGTTAGTCTAGTTTAATTTGTTTAGTAATAAACCTTTAAACTTTTAAACTTGACTCTCTCTCTTCTGTTGTCTCTGAGTAAATACGAAGCTGTTATCTGATCCCGGCATTAAAAAGTTCCAATCTTCTGGTTTAAAACAACCTCACAGGTCCATAAGGTTGATTTCATATTTGCTATGGAATCTTTTGTCTTATGGCTTATTAAATAACATGTAATTGAAATCATTACACAGATGAACGCACAGCGAGGAGATAAGTTTTGGTTTTGGTTCTACAAACTGACACTAGGGGGTGCTAAAAGCAAAGCAAAACTATTTAGTTCCTCCATAAGTCTTGGGGGCATTGATCAGCCAAGATGATGGAAATATTCCTCAGTGATTTTGGTTGATACTGACTTGAGGGTAGTCCACAGTAACGGGATGATTGGTACAATGTGGTTCTGAACAATAGATGTTTAAATGATGATGATCATTGGACCAATCTTTTATGGTCCAGTTCTGGTCATCCAGTTCTTAGCTGACAGAACTGGGTTTGCTCTTTTGCTGCTCGAGTCCATCTGCTTCATCATGGTTCAATATCTTTGTTACTTTCTTTCTGTGTCAGTTTATATCAGCTATGTGTTTCACAGATGATGTCCTGAGTACCTTGATTAAAACCTGTGGTTATTTGAGCATGCTGTCTAGACTAGGCATGTCTTATGTGCAGACTGGGGGCCATTTGCAACCCTCTCAGTGATCTTGTGCGGTCTCCATTTGCATTTCTAGAATGATTAATTGTGTCTCTCCTGTTGACTATTAATTGATTGAGACTCTCTAACATTTTTATGTTAACATGTTTACCAGTTTGGCTGTTTCTGACTTATTGCGAGATTTATAAATGTAAAAAACAACCATGAAATTATTGTAGTTTTTTGTATTGTAAAAATCACATTTATGTGTACCATGTAAACAATTAAAGGTGCGGAATACTGAAAAAAAAACGTTTTAACAGATTATTTCGGATTATAATCGGTCACTCTGAGTTTTTCATTAAAATAGTCTCCTACACCTATCTCCTGCATTAGCTTCTGACAAAAAATAGACGGTGAAAATTTAGGATTTTAAAATCCTGACAGATGTATGTCAAACTGTCACTTAACATTCACAAACTCACCCATCTTGAGGTGCAGTAGCTCAGGAGGGAGAGCGGGTTGCCTCATGATTGGAGGGTCATGGGTTCGATTCCGGCTCCTGCCAGGGGTATCCTGCTGTTGTGTCCTTGGGCAAGATACTTCCCCCAACTTGCCTGTGTTAGTGGTGGTCAGAGGGGCCGACGGCGCCAAATGGCAGCCTCGCCTCTGTCAGACCTCCCCAGGGCGGCTTTGGCTACAAGTAGCTTACCATCACTAGCAGTGTGTGAATGTGAGAGTGTGTGAAAGCGTCTTTGGGTGTCTAGAAAAGCGCTATATAAGTTCAATGCATTATTATTATTATTATCTTGGCTCATGATGGGTTATGGTGTTGTTGGTTTAGCACCCAGGACACAGCAGATAACGTCTCGGCTAGTAGAAGCTGACCATTAGCATTAGCAACTCCACGACACAGCAGAACTCCTACAGGCTTGTGTTATTTGTGGAGATAGAATTTCAACATTGTAGAGCAGAGCCAGTGGTAGAGTTACATTGCTGTTATCCAATCCAAGACGAGATGTCCAAATATTAGGAAATAAGCGTCCTGATCTGGTATTCTCCTAGTTCCTGAATCTGGTGCACCGGAGCTTTTTTTCCCCCTCAAAGTACGACTTACAAGCCATTAATTCCTACTAGAAACTACTGTAAATGTATTAATTTAACGAGTGTTCCACACCTTTAACTTGATGCTTTGGGCCTTTGTCTTGAAAATGTTTGATACTCCTGCTCGAGGACATTTCTGTTCATTCTCCTAAACCAAAAACTTCAGCAGGTCATCTTCACCACATGTAGATGTCTGAATGTGTTCAGTTGCTGCCCTGTGATTGGCTAATGAACATTTAGGCTTAACAAGCAACTGAACAGATCAGTGAGAAAACAAAGATGTGCAATAAAAATACAATCTATTGAATCTGCATTATCTTAAAAGTCTATAACCTTTGACAGAGCTGAGAATAAATTAGTTCTAAAATGTAACTTTGTGCCAGAACGGTAAAATATCCCAAAGAATATTGTCTACTTTCATTGAAAATTGAATTTACCTTGAAATTATCTTTTGAATGATAATTAAAAGAAATGTTTCACCTATCATAAAACCGAAATTCAGTCCACTGCGACTCCACACTGCAGCTTTTTGTGACTCAGAAGAAGTGTGTTCGGCCCTCGTGTCTCCTGTGAGTCCTAGACAGGGCTAAAGCAGACAGATGTAACCCAAAGTCCAAAGAGACACAGAGGAGACACTCACCATGCCAGGGGGATCTGCGTGAGGATCATAATGACCGTGTTTCAAAGCAGATCCTGCCTAACTTCATCCTCACAGAGCTTTTGATCTCCCGCTCTCTGCCTTTCCCAATTCTGCTCACTTTTACAAAAACAGACATAATTAAGAGGAAAGAATGGAATGATGAGCACAGAGTTGTCCACCGCCACCTTCTAGATGAACATTAGGCTGTGCTTCTGATACTAGCTCATTTAAAAAGGCCTCACCTTTACAATCAAAATACAAAAATCAATATGCTCGTCGCTTTGACATACAAAGGGCAAGTGTGTGCATACACCAGCAGCCCTGCTTATTGATCACAAGGATGATTCTTATTATTTCATGCAAATGAGTGGAGTTCTTCCTGGAAACTGGGGCAAATGCTGTGCAGTTAGAAAGGTTAGCAAGTGCAAATCCAGCCAGAACTAAGTCTGATAGTCGGATAACTTTTTGTAAATTGGATATAATGTTCAAAAACAAAGAACACAAGATGTGTTTCTTACTTTTTTCTTCTTTTAATTATTTCTCTTAGATCTGATGATGAAAGCAAAAAACAAACATAATCTGTTTTTCAGTAGATCACAACTGGAACTGCGGGATTGATAAAAGTGTTTTCTGAGCTGCCGAGCACCCGTGTGGCTTCACATGACCTAGAGTTTTTTTTTTTTTTTTTGCCATGGCCTGTTTCTCACTCATTACGCTGTGTTTTGGCAGATGTTTCAGCTGCTTTGCTCTTGCATTCTCATTAGGCTGTTATTATCAACACGCAGGTGCACGGCGCGACCCAAACCGTCAATAATTAACGTATTAAACTTTTTAAGCTGGTTTAGCGCAGAGCTACATGGTGACTCTTATGCGGATGAAGACAGATGGACACCAAATTACCACCTTGTCCCGCGATAACATTGTGAAGTTAACTCTGTCAAATCATAAAAATGCTGCAAGCTTCTGTACCTGTGGCCGAGGATGTCCGGTCACCAGACAGGTGAGCTCCAGGGTCTCTCCTTCCCTGATGGTGTACACCCTCTCCGTGTGCCGCTCCTCCTCGACATTACAGGCGTGCCCCGAATGGATGATGCGCACGGTCGGAGGTGCTGTGGAGGGGAAGGCACAAAGCTACGTTAGCGTTCTGCTAATTTTTGAGGGAATAGGTGGTTAAGCACAGTAGAATGTGTATTGATTAAAAAGATGGTCGCACTAAAACTAAGCTATTCCCAAAAGCGTTGTGCAAACGCTTACTCTGCAGCAGAGCAGACAAATAACCAGGAACGAGCACGAAGTGGAAGGAAAGTCGATGCATGTTTTGTTTTTATGTCATTCCTTTATCTGGATTTAACCACTATAACATGCACAATGCTATTTAATAAGATAAATTAGCAAAACATCATAAAACCTGTTAAATATTATCCTTAATCAAGATGTTCTAAGAGCACATTGCAGCAGGAGCTTGTCTGAGGGTTTTCCGTGACCTTATTCGCTGCTTCACCTGGTATCATTTGCGGAAATTTCTTGATGGAATATATTTTGCCTGCAAGAGTCACATTATTTTGACCGAACCTTGATGATTTTATGCAATTTGACTCAAAATCTCAGTCTCCTGCATGCTGATGTTGTGTTTCAACTACCTCACAAACACAATCTTACAACATATCTTTAAAAATAACTTCGTTTAGACAAGAAGACGCTTGTTTTAGAAAAAGGAACCAAACGCATCAAAACTAAAATCCCTGTGCAGCGCTGGACTGCCTTCTTGTATCACATAATCTGACCCAAAGTTACAGATAATAAAACATATTTATGTATTTCTTCTTATCCATTTAGTCGCGCTCCTCCTCTGTCTTTTTATGGCAGTAATAGATGTTCTTCAACAACAGCCGACTCATCTTATCTGATTTACAGGCTGGGAAGTAAACTGCATAAACTTTTATGACATTTTAAACAGTGATAGTCCAGCTTTATTTTAAAGATAATGAAATAATTCAAAAACATATTTATTGATTGGTAAACAGTAAAGTTTATAGACATCAAATGTCAAGACCTGCATGCACAAGTTCATATTGTTGGCATTTCCGGCACATTTTAAGGGTTTATAGGATTAGCTACACTGCTTTATTGGGTTATTTCCATGTAGAAGCTAAATGTGTTCACTGTAATTATTCTAAGCCAAATTTATATGGGTTTTAGTGAATTTCCTGCTAAGCTGTTCTGAACGGGGAAAACTCTTTGTCCCTTTTGAATGGATGATAATTACTTATAGGACAGTAATACAGAAAAAATATCCTCCAGTTTAGTTAGCATTGTTTAATGGTCTAGTGGTTGAAGGTGTGTAACACTGAAAAAACGGTGTTTAATGAATATTTCTGATTATAATCGCTCACTCTGTGTTTTTCATGCAGGCTGAACATGAAAACGGTCTCCTACACCTATCTCCTCAGTTAGCTTGTGATAGAAAATAGATGGTGAAATGCTAGGATTAGAAAATCCTCACACTGTGATGTCACACTGTCAACTTGAATTAATGGCCTTGCCCATCTTCGCTCGCACCCGCCCAAAAGAAGGCTGTTTATTTATGTTATTTATTTATTTATTTATTTCCAGCGAGGAGAGACTAGAAAATAGATGGCGAAATGCTAGGATTAGAAAATCCTCACACTGTGATGTCACACTGTCAACTTGCATTAATGGCCTTGCCCATCTTCGCTTGCACCCGCCCAAAAGACGGCATTTTTATTTATGTTATTTATTTATTTGCAGCGAGGAGAGACTAGAAAATAGATGGTGAAATGCTAGGATTAAAAAATCCTCACACTGTGATGTCACACTCTCAACTTGCATTAATGGCCTTGCCCATCTTGGCTCGCACCCGCCCAAAAGAAGGCTGTTTATTTATGTTATTTATTTATTTATTTATTTGCAGCGAGGAGAGACAAGAAAATAGATGGTGAAATGCTAGGATTAAAAAATCCTCACACTGTGATGTCACACTGTCAACTTGCATTAATGGCCTTGCCCATCTTGGCTCGCACCCACCCAAAAGAAGGCTGTTTATTAATGTTTTTTGTTTATTTGTTTATTTGCAGCGAGGAGAGACTAGAAAATAGATGGTGAAATGCTAGGATTAGAAAATCCTCACACTGTGATGTCACACTGTCAACTTGCATTAATGGCCTTGCCCATCTTGGCTCGCACCCGCCAAAAAGAAGGCTGTGTATTTATGTTTTTATTTATTTATTTATTTGCAGCGAGGAGAGACAGCGGAGAGTGTCTTGGTGATAGTGAATTTGTAAAATGGAAGAATGCATTCTGTTAGCCAATCAGAAGTGAGATGTGTGCATATCAACAATATTAATATGCCATAATAATATAAGTTTGAGTAATTTTGAGTAATCCTGCTGTTTTTAGCCCACCTGTGCATCAGCAAACTTCTGCATCTCAGAACTGCAACATCTCCGCTTTTTAAATGACTCATGAGGTATTGAGAACACTGCAAATGTATTGAATAGACAAGTAACCACACCTTTACATTATAGCACTATCACTAAACTTAACATTTTTATGGGTTTTGATGGGAAAAGTAGAAGTTCAGAACTTCATGAGAACATTTTTAGACTTGTTTTATGGAATCAAACACACGTTTCCCTTTGTTTTGTAATCAAAGTTATTGTTCCTTTAAAAATAGGAACTGACTGCAGGGAATTGTTAAGGTGAGCCGTAAAAGTGGCAGCATGTCCCTGAGTGATCTTATTCATCTTTATTAATCCCAAAGAAAGGCTCAGTCAGTTCTCTCTGCTTCAGTTTGATGATTTATGAAGTCAAAATGTCAGAAAAAGTCAACTAAAGAGCTTTTTTAACCCAGAAGTCTTCACGACTTAAACCAACTGATGATAATCTTGATTGTAACCAACACAGGTCAATATTTTGTACCTAAAATGTCAATAAAGAAAATGTTCTTTAAGGGTTTGTGTCTATTTTCAGTTGAACAAAATTGGTGGATCCCAACTGAGGTTAGATTGAGCAGGGAACCAAGTTATTTTAGGTAAACCACAGAAAAAAAAATCAATTTCTACTGAGCTGTGAAAGCACTGCTGCACATGAACAGCCCCTGACAAATCTAGCAGCTGTTCGGCATTTATTCCCCTCCAACGTCCATGATTAGTGAAGAGGTTAGGGGACGAGATGGCTTAGAGAGCGGATGCAGGATATGATTAGGAGGTGGAGTACAAAATGGTGAAAAAAGGAGAAGGGAATTAAAAGAAAAATCCAACAGGAACTACAAGGAGTTCCAGGCTGCAGCTTGGCTTTCATGTTGGAGGAGCAGCTTCCTGTGTGGGCCTCTCCCGGCAGCCCCGACAGCAGACGTGGTTCTACCTCCATCCTGGCTGCCATGCTAATGAGCTCAGCGACACTCCTCCCTGATGCTGCGTGGGGACTCTCAGTCGGAGTGTTTCCTTCGCTGCGCTCTAACCGCTCGTTCCTCCCTGATACCAGCCCGTGCGGTTTGTCTCCTTCAGCTTGTTAGCCTAATGCTCCGTCACGCTTGTCCTGCTTGTTTAAAGGCTACACAGATTGATGAGCGCTAACACAGATGCTAATCATAAAGCATCGTTTGGCTTTTCCCGCTCTCTCCCTCTTTCTTGTTTGCCCCTTCTCTGTTTGAATACACTGGTGGGGAATTCTGTTGGGAGGGTAAAGCTGGAGAAATGAGGGGGCTTCATGCAAGGCTGCCGCTAAAAACAAAAAAAGGGCTTAAAAACAAGACCCCAGGGCTTGAGCTGAGCAAAGCACTAATGCCATTCATACCAATGAAGCAGGATCTCTGCAGCATGCTATCAGTCCTGAAGGAAAGCAGGGAAACACCCATAATTAATGCACTTCAGCTGCTATCACAGCTACTGCAGCTGCACACACTCACAAGCACATAAAAACACACTTATTCTCCACGCAGACAACATTAAGCTTAAAGCCACAAAGGCAAATAACCCTCTCTGGAGCATACATAATGAGGGCACTTACATTCAAATAGTCACACATTTCCTTAAGTAGCGAAGACCTGTGCCGCCATTTCCTTTAGCCCAAAGCTCGAGCTAAAACCACTGTCATTACTATTTAATTTCCAGTTTAGTTTTCCTAAAAGCCACTTGATACTCAGCTGACAGTAACTGCTCATAACATATCCGGAAAGAGATGTGGAGAACAAATGGGGGGGAAAAAAAGACATTAATGCAGTTGGATTTCGGGCTGGGCCTACACAGACTGAGACGTCAACGCTCTGACAGGTTCAAGATGAAAGATGGAGAGGATAAGGGCGACAGAAGCAGCTTTGAACACATCGCAGATGGGCTGAGAGACAGTCGGTTAGATCCTGTTACATCTTTACAACATCCCATACAAGTTCATTATCTGGGATGAGGCCCTACACGTTAGGAATGGGATAACGTTCCGATCTGCCTTTTATCTTTTCAGCTTCCACTGACTTTCAGGAACGTCTAAAATGGGGAATGTTGCTCTGCTCCGTCTAAACTCGAGTGGGGAGAGAACATCTTTATCGAGTCACATCACCGATCAATGTGCCGCTAATTGAGATTTGGTTCCAAATGATATGTGAGTAGAAAAATAATGATACAGTTTGCTGCAAATGTTTAGATACGGTCAATTCGATTGATTGCTAGTTGCAGCCCTTGTGGGTTTGATGCAAAACGTTGGCACTTAAAGCTTTTCTACTTATTCTGAGCTATAAAACACTTCTTTAATAACACACACACACACACACACACACACACACACACACACACACACACACACACACACACACACACACACACACACACACACACACACACAATGCCCCAAGGAACATTTATGGGTTTAATTATAACACAATACAAATAACTAGGGTTTTTATTTCCTCATCCTTCTAATTACTAAAGAAGTTAATTTATAAATGAAATAGATGATAAAAATAACCAAGAAATTACTTTTTATTGTAATAAATATGAATTATAAAATGTTTTAAACGAGGGATGCTCCGATCCGATCACGTGATTTTCAAAGGATCGGGAGAAATAAATCGGATTTAAATAGAGATTTACAAATA